CTTCTTCTTCTTCTTCTTCTTCTTCTTCTTCTTCTTCTTCTTCTTCTCCTCCTCCTCCTCCTCCTCCTCCTCCTCCTCCTCCTCCTCCTCCTTCTCCTTCTTCTTTTCAACTTTTTTAAAGACATGGTTTCTCCACATAGCCCTGGCTGTCTGCCACTCTGCAGAGAGGCTGGCCTCCGACTCCAGGGTCTGAGATCTGAGACCCACTTACCTCTGGGACTACTAGCATGTTCCACCACCACCTGGCTAATTTTGTTTCTTGAAAAATGAAATAGAAAAAAAAAAAAAAAAAGAAATAGAAAGCCGGGTGTGGTGGCACACTCCCCTAACCCCAGCACTTGGGGAGGCAGAGGCAGGCAGATCTCTGAGTTTGAGGCCAGCCTGGTCTACAAAGTGAGTCCAGGGCAGCCAAGGCTACATGGAGAAACTGTCTCGAAAACCCAAAAACCAAAAATAAATAAGTAAGTAAGTAAATAAATAAAGTCCTTAGGATAGAAGATATTTGTAAATCGCATAGATGGTGATACAGTAATACTCAAGATGTACATGAGGAACTCAGACCACAAAGACAACTTTGGGTTTTTTTTTTAATTTCTTTTCTTTGGAAAAATTTAATTAGTGGGTTCATGAGAAGGCTCAGCGGACAAAGAGATTTGTGGTATTAGCCTGACAATCTGAGCTCCACCCTTGGAAACTACATAAAGGTCAGAACTGGCCTCTGACCCCAATGTGCTTCACCCATGAGTACACGCACAACAATTTAAAAAAAAATCAAAGTTTCATTAATAAATATATTTTTAAAAATTAAAAATAAGTTATTATCATTATTATTATTATTATTATTTGCAGTGCAGGGACCAAACAGATGGCTTCATACTTGACAGACTCTATTGCTGAGATATGCCCCTCAGCTCGTATTGCTTATGGATTGGTTTTTGTTTTGCTTTTGGCTTTTTTCTTTCTGAGAGACAAGACTTCTCTGTGCCCTGGCTGCCTCAAAACTCTGTAAACAGGGCTGGCTTGGAACTCACAGAGATCCCCCTGCCTCTGCCTCGAAAGTGCTGGGATCAAAGGTGAGAGCCACCATGCCTGGCTGTTTATTTATGTTTTTAAAAAACCTATGTTTTAACCTCTGAGCCATCTCTTCAGCCCCCATAACCTATGTTTTAAATGAGCAAAAAGGTTTGGGTAGACATTTCTTTCTGTGATGCTGGGCCTTGATTCTAGGGCCTGTGTATGTGTGTGCGTGGGAGTGGGCTAAAAAAGCATTCTCCCACTGAGATACATCCCCAGCCCAGGCAGACATTTCTTAAAGATGACTTATAAATGGCCAGCAAACACATGAAGGATAGCTCAACAGTATCAGTGGTCAAGGAAAGGGAGGGCCAGGCATGGCTGCTGGGGGGGCAGAGGCGGGAGTGAGGGACTGCTCAGGCAAGCCAGGGTGCAGACCAGCCCCAAGAGCAGACTCCGAGAAAGCAGCCGGGCACACGGCTCTCGGGTTGTCTTCTGTATGTGTGGGTTGGAAGTCAAAGGTGGTGCCCCAGGCTGCTGGTTAAGTCGTCTGTCATTGAACTGCAGCCCCAGCCCTCAGGTAAGTCTAGAGAGAGAGTGTGGTTGAAAGTGATTGTCAAAATAACAGGGGAAGAGAGAGTGGCTGCTAATGGCTTTAATTCTTTTGAGTAATGTTTAGTGTGCTGGGTTTAGATACTAGAGATGTTTGTACAACTTCATGAACATATATATATATATATGTAAGTTTTTAAATGAGTGAGAGTGTGTGTGTTTGGTTTTGGTTTAAGATAAGGTCTTGATTAGCCCAGGGTGGCCTTACACAGCAATCTTACCGTCTTGGCCTCCCAGGAGCCACACATCTGGTTTGAATATACTAATAGTGACTGAATAGGCCAAAAAAAATGTGCATCGGGAAGATCACGGCTTAGTCAACGAGTTGCTCCTGGAAAGCTAGGTGTCTCCTGCAGGAGCATTAAATGAGAGCTGCCTTTACCTGGAAGGAAAATCAACTCAAAGGGGATCAAAATTTTAAACGCCGAAATTATTACAGGAAGATATGGGAAATACGCTTCAAGAACAGGTCTAGGCAAGTTGTGGTGATGCATACCTTTAATCCCAGCACCCAGGAGGCAGAGGCAGGAGGATCTCTGAGTTTGAGGCCAGCCTAGCCTGCAGAGTGAGTTCCAGAACAGCCAGAGATACATAGAGAAACCCTGTCTCAAAATAATTTTTTTTGAAGTGTTGAGAGCAGGCAGATCAAGAGTTCAAGATCACCTTAACTACTTGGTGAATTCAAGGCCAACCTGGAGTATATGAGACCCCATCTCAAAGACAGAACAAAGTAACATTTATATGTGTGTGTTTTGAAAATCTACAGGATGAGTCTGGTGAAGTAGTTCAGTGAGTTAAGGTATTTCCTGGCAAGCCTGATGACTTGAGTTCAATCCCTGGGAGCCACACAGTAGAAATCAAGAACTAACTCCCCCAATAGTTGTCCTCTGACCCACACATGCATGCCCCCTCTGAGCAGGCATGGTGGTGCACATCTTCAGTCCCAGCACTCCGAAGGCAGAAACATACAAATCTCTGAGTTCGAAGCCAGCATGGTCTATAGAGCAAGTTCTAGGACAGCTAGGGCTACAGAGAGAAATCCTGTCTCAGACCAGACAGATATCTAACAGATATATACTTTTGTAGCAGACTGGCATTGACTGTCTCAAACAAACAAACAAACAAATAACAGATATACATTCTTTAAATGGCTTTGAACTCCTAGACTTTGACTCTGGATCTTCCTGACCCCAGCACCTTTATGCTGGCATCACCGCTGTGTACCACCGTACCTGCTTTACAGAGTGCTATAACGGACCCGGGCCTTCATGCCTCCCAGGAACATTCTAAATAATGGCTATTTCTGTAGAAGGAGCCTTATACACTTCTTTATTAACTGATTTTTTTTAAACAATACAAACGAATAATTTTACTATTTATTTAAAAAAGCATAAAAACAGAGCATATGTCACACAAACTTATAGTCCTAGCTACTGGGGAGGGTGAAGCAGGAGGATGGCAAGCGTGAGCCTTGGCAGCTTAGTTAGGAAGACTCTGTCTCAAAAGAAAAAGGAGGAGGAGGAGGAAATGGGCAGTAGCTCAGCGGTGCAGCACTTGACAAGTAAGACAAGGTCTCTCCCACACTGACAAAAGAGGGAATAAGAGCATTTACTTACTGGAAATTGAGAAAGAAGTTTTATTTCTCTTTGTGCTAAGCAATCTTCTCAGCCTGCAAGGTCAGAGGCTTTTCTCACTAGTTCTCTCTCTATGTGTGTGTGTGTGTCTCTCTCTCTCTGTGTCTTTCTGTGTCTCTGTCTCTCTCTTGCTCCAGGGTTTCTCTGTGTAGCCCTGGCTGTCCTGGAACTCATCCTGCAGACCAGCCTGACCTGGAACTCAGAGGTCCACCTGCTTCTGCCTCCCAAGTGATGGGTGTGGAACCCCTAAATTGTCGTCTCAGTTGGATTCAGGTGGAACCTAACGTATGGTTCACACTGAGGCCAAAAGGAACGGGATCTTCTTCCAGTTTTGAACCTGACACATCCAGCAAGTTAAAAGCTTCCAAAATCCAGTGGAGGAACAGGAACAGGATGGGTATTCTCATTACAAAAGGAGAAATGAGAAGTTAAAAGCCTAGCAGGAGTGGAGGGGTTGAGGATAGGAAACCTCACAGCTGGGTCATCCCAAGAGAAGCAGGAGGCTTTGTTACATTCAAGGTCAACCTGAGCTACACAGCAAGATGGCTCAGCAGATAAAGGTTGGTGCCTCTCAAACTCCTGCCACTCCAGCTCCAAGGATGCCTCCATCTGGCCGTCCTGGCCTCCCTCCCACATCAATTAAATAAAGGCTTTTTAAAAGGAGAAGGAGACAGACTTAAGGCTGTTTATGGGGCACTAGCGCTGTCTCTAAGGGCAGAGCCCTCCCCGCTGCCATGCCCAGAGGAAGGGAAGGAGGAAGGGGAAGGGGCAGGTTTGACATCTGGACATGGTGACACACACCTTTCATTCCGGTAACTGAACCCAGGACCTCACCCTAAGTTCAACTGAGATACACCCCAGCTCAGTTCTCACTTATTACTAATCACCTTGGGGTCAGTGTTTTAATATGTTCACGGAGAAACCTGTATTTGAACCACAGCAGATACTTGTTTGTTTGTTTGTTTTTCCTTCTGTCTAAGAACATTGAGGCTGGGGCTTGGAGAGACGGCTCAGCGGCTAATTGCACTGGCTGCTCTTGCAGAGGACCCTGGTTCAATTCCCAGCACCCACATGGCAGCTCACAGCTGTTTGTAGCTCCAGTTCCAGGGGGCCCGGCACCTTCACAGACATGAATGCAGCCAATGTATGGAAGGAAAGGAAAAGAAAACCTAACACACAGAAAATAAAAAATAAATAAATCTTAAAAAAAAAAACAAAAAAAAACCATGAGGCTGAGGAAGCTGTGGGGTTCACGGGTTACAGGAAGTCACGGTCAAGCCAAGAGAAGAGTGATTCCCCTGAGGAACTTGGCCACAAGATCTCACGCTGGGACCACAGTGGGGGAAATCCTGAGGCAGCACATGAGTGTTCTCTCCCTCTCACCTTCCTAGTCCCTTATCAGGTCCTTTAATTATTTCCCATCCCTGTTCCTTCTGTTCTTTTCTTTGATGCTCTATGGATCTAGAGGTCATAGCCACAGCTCCTACCCCCCCTTTTTTTTTCTAAATGGGACTACCATATTAACCTCAGACACTAGTGGCGCGCGCCTGTGCTCCCAGCATTTGAGGGCTGAGCCAGGAAGATTACAAGTTCCAGGCCAGTCTGGACT